AGCCGGATACAACTCTAGAAGTGGAAAACCAGACGTCGGCGGCTATCCTGATAGAAATCTAAGCCAAAAAAACTAAAAACCTCAAAACAAGAATAACATCCATAGAAGAGGGAAGCCGATGTAACTTTTGTAAGGGAAGAGAGGACGTCGTGACTTTCTTGAGCTTTGAGCAGGTAAGACGAGCTTAGCGTAGAGAAGAGGGAAGCCGACCATGTCCTAAGCTTTTGGAGAAAACGATCGCGGGAAGAGTGGCGTGAGTGTTCTATGTGAAGAAGAAAGGAAGAGCCGAAGAAGAAGAATGAACCGAGCCGTTGGTTATCTCTGATACCAAATGATACCAGAGTTAACCCAAATAACAATAAGAATAAAATAATATTACTGGAAGTAAATATGCAGCTAAAATGAAGCACACTTGAAAGGGAAAGTACACCAAAAATTTGCTGGAATGCTAGGGGTGTGGAGAAGAAAAGGTCGACGATAAATACTCCCTCGGAAACGAGCTACAACCGGAGCACCACTCGACTCTTGGAAGAAGGTCACCACTTGGACAAGTTGCAGCCGGATACAACTCTAGAAGGGGAAAACCAGACGTCGGCGGCTATCCTGAAAGAAATCTAAGCCAAAAAAACTAAAAACCTCAAAACAAGAATAACATGCATAAGCCCCAGATAACTAGGATTAGACCCCCCCTATGGAAAGGAGGCGCCAATCCCTCGTGGGGAGCCGATCGGCCCTCCTGCATTCGGCTCGGACGAAAGGCATCACAGGTGAAGGCTGCGACTCCTTCTACGTTGTTCCCGCAGCGCTATTGGGTGCCCCCGCCTCCGGGCATGTCGGCCCTGTATCAAAATGATAAGCAATTTTTTGCATATTTAGCAGCCTTTAATCTCTTAGGCTTTATTTCTCTTGTATGATTTTCATTTATTGCATCATTTTAGTTCCATCTTGATTCCTCTTGTATCACCGATCCTTGAAAGGTTTGTTGTATTTGCATGGTATCAGATATGCTAATTTCAAGTTGGCAGTTTGTGATTTGGTCATCTAGAGTCTGTAGGCTATATGAAGGTGTGAATTGGCAGGTTATATGAAGGCCATAGACTTATCTGACATGTCCAGAATTGGAATGCCTGGTTATCCCATGCCCATATCAAAAGTTGGGTATTTACATACATATCACACAATTCTTATGCTTTTATATATCTAACACTTAAATTTTCATATTTACATAAATAACACTCTGATCTTTAATATGACATCAAATATATCACTACTACAAACTTTTAGAAGTGAAGTACTGGTACACCTTTTCATGGGTTCATTATAACAAAGTGTTTTAAATGTAAATATTGAATTTTAGGCTTTAGATATTTAAATACAAATGAATTGTGTGGTATGTATGAAATTTCCCTCAAAAGTTTTCTATTTCTTCTAGAGTGATAGATTGATTGTTCTATAATGACCAAACCAGCTATCACCAACTTTTTCTTCAGAAATTATGTAATGGATTAGGAACAAGTTGACTGATTATATTCTTAATTGAGACCTAAAATGCTGGTAAGTGTGTTCTTTTTATGTTCAATATTCTCTCCGTACAAACTGAAGGAGGATTGACCAAATATTTTCCTATTTCTGTTGGATTACATCAGGGGTCGGCTTTAAGCCCATATCTTTTTGCTTTAGTTACGAATGGTCTTACTGGACATTTACAGGAGGATGTACCTTGGTGTATGCTTTTTGCTGATGACATCCTTCTCGTGGATAAAATGAGAGAAAAAGTTCAACAAAAACTTAAATTATGGAGGTCTACATTGGAGTCTAAAGGCCTTCATTTAAGTAGAACTAAAACTGAATACATGGAATGTAATTTTAGTAGTAATAACTCTAGTGATAGAAGTGTGACTTTGGGTGATCAAATTATTAAAAGGTGTGAACGATTTAAATATCTTGGGTCCGTTGTTCAAATTGATGGTGATATAGATGGGGATGTTAATAGTAGAATTCAAGTTGGTTGGTTGAAGTGGAGGAATGCTTCGGGCCTTTTGTGTGATCGAAAAGTACCGCTTAGACTGAAAGGAAAATTTTATAAGATGGTGGTGAGACCTGCAATGCTCTGTGGCGCTGAATGTTGGCCTTTAAAAGAGAAGCATAATAATAAGTTAAGTGTTGCCGAGATGAGAATGATTAGGTGGATGAGTGGCTTTACTCTTAGAGACAAAATGCGAAATGAATATATCCGTGATAGGGTTGGTGTAGCTCCTGTGACGAACAAAATTAGAGAAAGTCGTCTTAGATGGTTTGGTCACATTAAACGTCGACCATCTGATGATTCTATTAGGAGAGTAGATGCTTTAGATTCGACTTGTGTTAAGAAAGGCAGAGGTAGACCTAGGAAGACTTGAACTTATTGTATTAAAAATGATCTTAATTTACTAGAACTAAATGAAAATATGACACTAAATAGGACGCAATGGAGAAAAAGGATTCATGTAGCCGACCCTACGTAGTGGGATTAAGGCTTGGTTGTTGTTGTTGTTGTTATTCTCTTCGCACAAACTTACGAATGTTAGTTGTTTTGGAGTTGCTTGTAATGAAGACAAAATATTTCTCCTACTTTTTAATCTCTTTAATTACAGTATTATTAAGATAATACCATAAAGATTTTTCTTTGAGATGATCTCTCAATAACTATATCAGTTTCTGCAAGTCTTTTCTCTGAGATGCCCTTGTCATTTTTATTATGAATTCGCTGTTTTGCTATTTATTTTCTTACTAGCAAATTAATGGTACTGATCACTGGGATTATTTCTTTAATTATTATTATCCTTTTTTTATTCATCCCGGGGTTTTCTTTCAGTCTAAGCAATTTTTATCTGTTTATAGTGATGGGAAATTTACGCACATACCACAAGTTTTATGCATTTACATATCTAACACCTAAAGTTTGCTATTTATATTTACAAAACTTTGGTATTAAAAATCTATACATGAAAATGGGTATTTCACTTTTATAAAGTTAGTGATAGTGCTCTTTTTGGCGTGTGTCAAAAATTTGAGTACTATATATGTAAATATAGAATGTCAGGTGTTAGATTGTAAATATAGGAATTGTGTGGTATGCATGGAAATGGCCCTTTTCTTTTTAGTCCGATACTTTGCCTTGGATACCAATATTTTAATATATTAGGGGCGAACTGATACAATTTATTACTAATTTCATTCCTGTAGCCATTTTTAATATTAAAACTGACGAGTATATGCAAATTTGTCTCCCAAAAGATCCAAAGCCATTGTGTTCCACAAGTCTGCATATTCTTGAAGATCTGGAGGAATTTTCTACAACTTCTTGTCTATGCCAACGAAAAAATTTTCTTTTTTGGTTATTAATTCTTGAAAGCATATAGATTCATGATTTTAACTGCTTGTGGTTAAACTAATACTATTTTATCAATTGTAACTTTCAGGCCTTCAGAAGGCTGTATGAGGAAGTTGGCCTAGGATGGGTCTATGCCCTTACAAAATATAAGCCGGTAAGTCAAAAACTTAATTGTTTAACTTAATATGTTACTGAATTAACAGTGAATATGATCTCTTGTTAAAAATGTGGAATGGTTTTTGAAATTTGTGACATGGTATTTTGTTTTGACAGAATCCTCCGGAAAAGATTACCTTTTACTGTACTTTAGATGGTGAAGTTTTATATTCAGTGAATGAGTAAAGTATCAAATTAGTTCCCTGACTATTTAGATGAGGCCATTTTAGTCCCAGAGTTTATAAAAGTGCTGAATTAGAACTGTTTTAGCTGGGACTAAAATAGTCTTGACTGGGGGCTATTTTAATTTATATTAAAAAGGTTGGGGACTAAAATGACACTTTTTGAAACTTTGGGGCTAAAATGATTCCCTATAAAGAGTCAGGTGACCATTTGCCATTTTTCTTTTCAGTGAATAGAAGAACCTAGTTTTTATGTTATATTCTACTCTGGTATGATGTAACTTAATTTCTCTTGAGACTATTTGTATGAAAATGTTATGCTATCTTCATAAAAGCAAGTGGATCCTGATAACATTTTTGGTATAGTCTTTTTTTTTTATTGCATTCAGTACCTCTCACTTCTGAGTGCTATCTTCAGAAATGACATTAGATCTGTGCTGTTTTTTAGGAATAAAATATGGGCATTTACACACACAATTTTTATGTATTTATATATTTCACACTTAAACTTTCATATTTACAGACATAACACTCAAATCTCTTATATCACATAAAAAATAGCACAATTATCACTTTCTAAAAGTGAAATACACCTTCTCATGAACAGGTTTAAAGCACCAGAGTGCTATGTTTGTAAATATGAAAGTTTAGGTTTGAGATATATAAATACATAAGAATTGTGTGCTACACTTTATATGTAAATTTCCCAATAAATTAATGTTTTCCATTGTATTAAAAATGTCATCAGCTCTCAGAGTTTTCTGATCAACTTTTGGTTTTAACTACATTCTCTTAACACTCGAGTTTGTAAACAAAATTTAACATAAATTATATATTTCTATGAAATTATCAATATTAATTCTATTAAATGTGACATTTTGGCTATTTATGATATGACTTTTGAAGGTTACTATGTTAAATAGAGTAAAAGCTAAGGTTGGAGATTAAATTCTTTAATGCAAAAACAACTTGTTCTACTCAAAATAAGTATAAAGTTACAACTTTACCCAGACAATTTATTTCTTATATTTCTAGTTGGATAATTCATCAAGCTATAGTTAGCATTCGTTATCAGTAGAAGAATAATGATAAAGCAGGAGCAGAACTTCAGGTGATTCTTGAACTTGATACAGATGGATTCTTGAGAAAGGTAATGCACATTCTTAAAAAAGGTTCTGCTGCAATCAATTAATGTGAGATGGATTAAGGCAACATCCTTTGTGCTAGAGTGAAAGTGACGCGCGAGCTAAAATTGAGATGTGTTACTATAAATGCTACAGTGATACCGATGTGTGACTGTAGATGCTACAGTGACACCCTATGTGTTACTGTAGCTGCTACTGTACTACGGTCCCTCTTGCCTCTTTTGCTTCCGTTCCTTATTTACCACCATCACTTTTATCCTAATTTCAAATTCTTTCCTTTCCCATCACTCGTCCTTTATTTATTGCCTATTCTTCTACTTACCTAATCTACCTACTAACCCTTTCTTATTTATAGATGTTGTTTGCTAAGGACAGGACAAATTTTGATGAGTACAAATTTTTGAGTGCTGCCTTCGAGGCGTTCTTCTCCTCTGGGATTGTACCTGACAACGAGAAGGTGCTCCGGCTGTACCTCGTTCGAGGTGGTGACCGTCTCCAAGGGTCTGGGTGGTGCCCCTGTTGTAGTTCGACCCTCGACGAGACATTTATCCTTCGGCAGCCCCTTCGCCCCCCCTATTCCAGCAGCCGCACATCGCCCTCCGACCTTCTTCCTGTTGCCCTCTAGGCCCTCCCTCCTCATTCCAGTAGCATTCCCCCTCAGCCCCGCCGACACCTTCCCTGCTACAGTTTGACGTCTCCAAGATGTTGTACTATTGTCGCTAGCCCTGCGGACGCCTTTCTCGCTGTTGTTTGGTGCTTTCCACAGCCGTCCCTGCTCCATCTAATAGTCCGCCAAGATCCTTTCTTGACCACCACCCTTGTCCCCGCTTTCTAGTTGATCGTTTATGTCTTCTCCTTTTCATTTGTATGTTTTCTGCCATTTATTTCATGCTCGCAAGAGTCTTGTTTGTATAATTTTGAATTCAGTAATAATAATTGTGTTTTTCATGATGTTTTGAGCTTCCTCCGATATCATTTGATATAAGAGCCAGCCCATCCCTATTCATTTGATAATAATCGGGACACGGTACTGTAGCTGCTACAATACCGCAGACACGTTACTGTAGCTACTACAGTAACCGCATATCACTCTTGCTTATTTTGATTCTATAACTTATCTACCACCTTCCACTTCTATCCCAATTTCAAATTCTTTCATTTTCCATCACCCTTGCTTTATTTATTTCCTATTCTTCTACTTAACTCATCTACCTACTAACCCCCTCTTATTTATGCATGTTGTCTTCTAAGGTTAGGGCAGATTTTGATGAGTATGGATTTCTGAGTGCTACCTTTGAGGCGTTCTTACCCTCCGGGGGCTATTTGACACTTTCTGCAACTATCCTTGCACCCCCAACAGTTCGCCAAGAATCTTTTTCGACCACCACCCTTGTCCCCATTTTCTAGATTGTTTATATATTTTTTGTTGCTTTCTATATTATATTTTATAATTGTCATCTTGTCCTTTCCGTTTGTATTTTTATTGTCGTTTATTACATTTTCGCAAGAGTCCCATTTGTACCCTTTTGAATTCAATAATAATAGTTGTGCATTTTATGATGGTTTGGGCTTCCTCCAGTATCAGAAAATCTTTCTCATTATAGTTTGATTGCATCAAGGGTGAACACGATTTCATATATATTTGTATTAGTTATGGAGATACTTATAAAGGATATTCAAAGTGAATGGCATTATATATTTTTCATATAAGAATTCTTATTGGTGAGAAATCTACTTAAATAAATCAAATTTTAGAAAAAATAGAGAAAACATCAGAATAGAAGAATGAGAACTAATAGGATAATAATTAAGCATTATTAGTGGATGTCATTGACAGTTTTTTCATTAATTTTATTAATGATATGATATATATGTGAGATATATTCAAGTATCTTTGATTAATCATGTTGAATAATGGAAATATAAGTGAGGATATAAATTCTAGAGTTAATGTTGAATTGTTAAAATGGATAAATGTTTTTAGTGTATTATACAATATGATGTTGTCTTCAAGACTTAAAGGCAACTATCTTAAAATTGAAATTAGGGCATCCTTGTTCTAAAAAAGTTGTTGATAGGTAAGTTGTACACATTTTTGCATATCAAAAAATTAATCTTGTTAAATTTCTTCAAGATGATATTTTTTTTATGTTATCATTTGAGTTGTAGTGTACTAGGCCAATGATATTAATTTTCTAGGATTAATCAAATATGTTTATGTGCATCTTTAAGAAATCTAAATATTATTTTATTGCAATCAAATGTGATCTTTAAGGTTTGAAAATGTAGCGTGCATGCAAAAGACATAATATCTAGCATGCTAGCTATTAAATATAAAAGAAATTCACTCATACCTCTTAATGATTTATTATTTTCTAATTTACCTTCCACATTCTCTTCAATTTTTTTTATGCTATCCGTAATTGTTATATCTAATTTGTTAGTAATTTAATATAAAAGAGAGTCAATATTACCTTTAAAGCGTTACTTATCCACTCGCTGATATCGAATTTAACTAAAACCACAATAGAAATGCAAATATTATTGCTAAAATTCAGTAAGAGTTACAAATAAAGATTCTTGATAAAAGAAAAATAACAACACAAACATAAAGACACCCTAGGGCAAGGTCGGGAATGGTAGGCTGTAGTTGGACAACAGGTAGAGGGATTGGTTGGGAGGCTGTAGGAACATCAAGAGGCTGGAATGGTGTGGTGGCAGCTTTGGTTGGCAGGAATGACGGGGCGACAACTAACTGGTAGGCTGGAGAGCTGGTGGTAGCAATCTGGGAGGGATGAAAGTTACTGCAACAGTAGGTATGTATGGATTTCAACATCAATAGGAAGGGGGATTAGGGTTGATGACAGCGGAAACAGGGAAGGGGAAGGTGCACAGGTAGAAGAGCAGCAAGTGACATGTTGCGGAGGATGGGGAAGTCAAAGATAATCACCACTGCGGAGCGAGATACAACCAGAACACCACTCGTCCTTGGATACAAACCTAGAAGGGAAAAGAGGGACACCAAATGCTATCTCGACAGAAAACTCAATAAAAAAAGAACCCTAACACAAGAAAAATACATACTTATAGCAGATAGCTAGAAGGGGGAGGCCCCTTGCCTTCAGCGACAACCCTAGCCCATAAAGATGGATTGGTCGACCCTGCTCCCCTTTTGGCTGAACCGGTTCAACTGATCCAACTGGTTTAACCCCCCTAGGGAGCCCCACGTCAGTCTCTCAGGGTTGGAGGAGCTTCAATCCTATTCGTCGAAGCTTTTGTCTACTTGTTGTTGATGATACTGCCCTTCTAACCTCCTGGACTGAAGGCTCTTCGACTGCAGTTTGAGAATCACTTGGATCCCACTGGCGACTGCACTATCCGCCAAGGCACCTGAGGATTTCTCCCTACTTGTGAGCAAACATTCATATCAGTACAATCTTCTTCGAGCTCACTACTGATCTGCCTTGGGCCTGCGTGTCACACATATATCGATAGATCCTCCCAAAGTAACCCAAGGTTGGCTCAACCTGATTTGAAGTGAAGTTAACATGAACCTCCTCATGATGGTGTCCTAGTCTTATCATCCCCTGTCATCACCAAAACTAGTCCCACCGACGTTGCTCTGTTGGCAAGGGCACCAGTGATCTCGGATTTCATAGGTGGGAAAGGAC